TATATGTGAGGCCCAGAACAGGGCAGTATGAGCGAGGCCTAAGTGTGCTAAGTTTGGCCCGACCTCAAGCTGGAGCATAGAACAACTCAGGAATGTCATTTGTGAGGCATGGGACACGATAAGGAAAGGTTGGAGTCATGTGCATACTCCTAAACATTGGAGTCTTAAAATGGGCAGCTTCCTGCTTATGGTAACACTGTTTTACTTTACAACAAAGGCATTGCAGGAGAGACCAGGCAGACTACACAAGATAGGAAGGCAGGCCAGTACTGTGACTGGACCTTGGAGTTTGCCCCATCACATCCATCAATGCAACTGCTTTTTTACCACATCTTTCAATGCTGAATAAAAAACATGGGGGGGAGATGGCAGCAGGACAAGGGAGAGGAAACCATTATCAGCCCAGGCCTCATAATGGCACCAGGGAGGGTTCAAGACCCCAGCCCATCTCAGAGCTGAGGATGACAATGAATTGATTGTTGGCTCAGGCACTGGGACAGCCCCAGACATGCCACACATTTAATTTAAGGCACCATTCAAACCAGCCAAAAAAATGTTCTACATTACATGTGGAACTTTTCTATACCTTGTTTGCCATGATATGGAGCCTTAATTTGGGTGCACATGTATCCATGGAAGAACACACAACCTATTGTGACCTGTTAACTATGGCATGAATGTAACATGTAACATGTCCTTACAGTGTTATTGTATCATAATTACATTGATTTTGATTCTGATAGTATTTACAATATTTATATCATTCCACCATCTTGAATTTTATCTCCATTAAACTAGGGCAAATTAATAGTAACTAAATTAGAAGTAAACGTAGACCTCAGCCTAAATCTATGTGTGATAGGATTATCAAACCCATTGCCTTCCATGATATGACTGTGGATTTACACTTAAGTAAATGAGATCAGAATGTGGCCACCAAATCTCCCATAATAAATATTCCTGATGTCACCCAGTATATTGAACCCTACAGAGGAGAACATTCCTAACAATGACTTATGTCTGGATGCAGTAAAGCACTTAACTGTGCTTACATTGACATGCATGATTTGTTTTATCGATAAGAACGGGACTTCTTATGTGCTTAATTTTAAGTAGCTGCTTAAATACTTTGCTGGTTCAAGGGCTAATAGATTTCTACTAGTATGAGAGCTAAGTTACTTTTTTAGAATGAATACATTTTTAATAGTCCAAGGATTAGATTCTTTCAAAAGATAAATATTTCCATGTTGGAATTTATGATGAAAATCACAGTAATGAATACAAGTACAATACTTTCAAGCCTGCAGTATACTAAAGACCATGAAACAAATGAACACCACCAAGGATGATCAAGTCCACATTGTCCAATTATAACTGATCTGGTTTATGTGATAACATAATTGTCTCAATAAAAAGTTTTCCTACCAGCTGTGTGGAGTTCAATAGATTTTCCACACATACCATCAAAGAAAATATTTTTAGCTAATAGAGACATTTTATGGTCACAGTGAGCTGGTGCAGGAATGAGAAGAAACAGCTAAAAAGGATTCTTCTATAAAAATAATTATCCAAAAGGCAGTAAAAAGATGTGCTGACCAGAATTCTGCTGAGAGGCCTAAGGCTTTTCACAGTGTCAGGCTTCTGAAAATCTAAATTAACTATCTAAATTCCTCCCACCCTGCTTATGTGAGTTAAACAGAGTTAGCTTAATTTTTATTCAAAATATTGATGAAAAGCCACAGTAGACACATCTACATGAGATGTTACAGTGCAGTAGCAATGAGCTACTTTGCTGTAGTGTCTCAAGGCATGAACCGTGATGATGACACTACTGTGCAGCAGTAATGAGCTACTGTGCAGTATCTTGTTGCTACTGAGCAGTAGCATCTAAAAATAACCATGCGGGGACAGTACTGTGCAGTAACTTGTGTTTACTGCACAGTACTTGGTTAAGCAAGTACTAAATGACTGCGCAGTAACAATTGCGCAGTACGCTGCTCATGCAGACGCAGCCAGTATGTTAGTAGTTCTTCCGTAGTACCAATAAACAGACATATAGGATGTGTACATACATTCATGGAAGTTAAGGGAAGGTTAGATTGCATTAAAAATAGCTACCAATCTAAGGTAAATCAGGATGGGGAGAGCTAGCAGGGGGAGAGTTGGGAGATTTGGGGGGGTGCTAATGCGGGGTTAGAGAGGCAAGCAGGCTCTAGGGGGGATCAGGGGATATATGGGGGTAACAGGGGATCAGAGGGCAGGTGGGG